GCAAGAAGGTCGATGGCAAGGGCCAGATCTGGGACAACGAAGGCAACGTCATTGGACGTGGTGAACTTTCCCACGGTCAGAACCCAGGACCCGAGGGTCCCTTCGCTGGCTTCGATGAGGCTACTGTTGCCAAGGACGGTACCGTCCAGACACCCTCTGGCGACATCGTCGGTCGCGTCACTGAGGGTGATGTCAAGAAGCTTGTCGGCCACAAGGTCGATGAAGATGGCGACATCAACGACAAGAACGGCAACGTCATCGGTAAGGCCGAGCGCTGGGAGCCTGAGGAGAAGGAGCGCCGCGTCAACCCCATGGCTGGCATGCGTGTCAACAAGGAAGGTGAGGTCCGCGACGAGAACGGCGATGTTGTTGGCCGTCTCACTGCTGGTGACCTTGGTCACTGCGCTGGTCTCGAGATTGATGACAACGGCTATGTTGTCGACAACGATGGCAACAAGGTCGGTGAGGTCACTCTCCTGGAGAACATCCAAGAGGAACCCGATGAGGATGAGACCGACGAGGAGAGGCAGCGTCGCGAGGACTCTGAGCTCGCCAAGAAGATGTCTGCCATCTGCGAAGACACCCTTCAGCGTGTCCAGCCTGTCATGAAGCAGATCACTGAGGTATGTTCTACTGCTAATCCACCAACATCACAAACATATACTAACAACCGCTCAGCACATCGAGCAAGCCGACCGCACACCCCGCGACGAACTCGACGAAGAGGAGCTTGTGAATAACGTCAAGCCCCTTATCGAGGAAGGCTCTCGCATCCTCAACGACTGCAACGGCTCCCTCCGCGGTCTCGACCCCGACGGTCGCATCGCCGCCCAAGCCAAGGGCCGCCAGCAAACCGGCGAAGCCTCACCCGAGGAGTACAAGCTCGCCGACAACCTCAAGGAGCTCACCACCTCCGTCGTCACCACCATCGACAACGCGAAGAAGAAGATCTCCGACATGCCCCACGCCAAGAAGAAGCTCAACCCTCTTTGGTCCCTGCTCACCGAGCCCCTCTTCCAGATCATCGCTGCTGTTGGTCTGCTGTTGACGGGTGTGCTCAACCTCGTTGGCAAGCTGCTCAACGGTCTTGGTCTCGGTGGTCTTGTCAACGGTCTCCTGGGTGGCCTTGGTATCAACAAGCTACTCGGCGGTCTTGGCCTCGGCGGCCTAGGCGACATGCTCGGTGGCGGCGACAAGAAGGACAAGAAGAAGGGTGCTTCTGGTCCTATGAGCATGGTCGGTGGCCTGCTCGGCAAGAAATAGACATCTTGACGATGTCTATGGGGACGAGTTGAGACGAAGTAATGTCTATTCACACCTTTGGTTCGAGATTGTTTGTCTGTTTTTTGCATATGATACCACGACCTCCTACCTGGGTCGTCGTTGTCATCGTCTATCGCCATGGGAGTTTGCAGATGTTTCCTGCTTGCTTCCCCCTCCACCATTGGATGTCGACAACACAAGAGATTGGAAGATCGGGGGGTCTGAAGGTCACACCTTTTTGTTGCCGAAGGAAGACGAAGAGTGGGGATTACAATGCAGGCGTGTCTGCGCTGCTTTCCACTGACGGTTTGCATGATTGCAACTTCACCCGGGTATCTGGTCCGATGATGGCATGAATTCCTTGTTTTTTGCTCGTTCAAAAATCAGCGTTCTTGTTTTGTTGTTTTCCGACACATACACACATCATCATGCCGCGACTCTCAAAGGCCACGAGAGGACGCGCGCATCTTTGGCTAGACCAGCCGGGTTTTCCTTTGTTGCACACCTCAAAATCTGCGATAGTTCTTAGCAAGCATTGGCGTTTCTGTTGTTGATGGCCATCAGGGGGATGATTGTTGTATGATAGTTGTTGTTAGTTAGTTTTAATCACTTTACTTTGAAATCGGTTTCGTCTTTGCAAATGTGTCTTGTGAAGTGAGCTTCGTGAGCTTTGCTGTTGACTTATGCATGTTCTTCAATCGCGACGTTGTGCACTTCAGTGTAGCATGTGAAATACGTGTTCAATGGTCTTTGATCACGAGGTTGATGGCTGAGGTGTGGTTGGGTCTTTGCTAATGACGTCCTGAGTTGAGGCGTAGCTTTGTGAATCTGTTGCGTTCTTGATCATGATGCGCTAAGTTCCGTCATGGCACCCGGGTTTAGTAAGCTTTTGATCGTGGTGTTGGCTTTCTGTGTGCCGGTAGTGTCCACTCGATCTTTGATCGTGGACTTCATGAGCCTCGGTGAGGCATGTGAAGCTGTTTGGTCTTCGTTCATGACGTCCTGGACTGAAGGTGTAACTCGTGAAATTGTTGGGACTTTGCCTCATGACGTCCTGAGCCTCGGTATAGTGCGTGGATTTATTAGGTCTTCGATCGTGATACGCTAGGCTTTGGTGTGGCATCCAAGCCGATTGGGTGTACGATCATAACAGCACCTGGGCATCGGCTCTGCGGCATGTCTTTCACCATGTGTCGAGTTGACAATTAAATTTGTGTGTTTGGTGGGACCGAGAGCAGCTATACTATAACTGTGAAACCGGTGATACCGGTGATACCACGGCTGCCTACTTCGAGGTGGTAGAAATCCACGCGGACGCTCATCTCCTTTGCCTCCTTCATGAGGTTCGATTTGCGCATGCGAAATTCAACAGACTTTGGATCGCATGACTCGCATTCGCGTTGTTTTCGTCCGGAGTGGTTCTGGACTTGTGGCTAGCAGACCCTGAGCCAGCGCTCAAGCTCCCTCCTTCTCCTCGGGGTTGCAGCATTGGCCATGCACCCGACCGAGCTGGGGAGCAGCGTGGATGGGAATCCGATTGGGCAAACCTGGCTAAATGCGGCGAACTTTAAATCGTGCCGTTCCCCGAGTGCCCTCCTTTTTGCGGGTGCCTGGTGCTGTCTCGAGCTTCAATGCGCCTTGACTTCTTGTCAGCGCTTCAACAACAAGAGTCAAGTTTAGGAGAATTGGAACAACGTTGTGGCACGCCTTGCAGCCCTGGAGGCTTTGCTGATCTTGACGCAGATCTCGACGCCAGCATCGAGGTATGAAGCTTGATTTGTCTGCATTAGAGTGTCAAAATTACAGGACAGCTGCCATCTAACGAGCTTGGGCCGCCATCCCTCACGTCTCCCAATATGCACGACGGCAACTCTCGAGGTAGGGTCTCCCACGCCTTGCAAACCTGTTCATCGCAATAACAAGGATCCTTCCATGCGCAAGTTCATCGAGGTCCACGGAAAAAGCGACTGTGTAGAGTCCCGAATCTCTGTACTGCCAAGCTGCGTTTCACCCTCGGCGAGGCTGAGCCGTTCTTCTGCAGTACCTCATCGTCCCCACAACTTGACACCATCCGGGTTGGCGGGTGCGTAGTGAGCTGCTGGTGCATCGATATTGCGATTTCAGTAATTCCAACGACGCCGCTGAACCTAGGACATTTCTACGATCCTGGACTCCGACGGGTGCGGGAAGATCCCCCAGATGCCCGGTCATCGTTATCGGAGTTCTCTCCACCAGACGAGCGCGGACCTCGCAGTGAACGCTGAACGAACGAACGAAAGCAGGATCTACATGGACCTCCAACTCTGTAACATCGCGTAAGTAGGGTCAATCCAAAAAGATGAGAAATGTCCGGCACTACGATTAGCACACGGGACGGTCCACAGGTTCATCTATGGCGACGAGAAACACTGGCATGCGATTCGCGCGGCCACCAGCACCGCCGGGGGAGCATGTAGCGCATTCGTAAAAGTAGACAACGTATCAGGGGTGAATTTTGCGCTTCGAATGCGACGCCCAAGGCTAGAGGACCTGGTGCATCTCTGCACTGCGGTACGTCTCCTGGATGCGGGTGTGGCGTGGTGTTTATTGCTCCTTCCCAGATGAGAGCATGGCAGAAAGGCAGTTGACGTGCTGGGTACGGTACCAAGCCAATGGTGACTGGTCAGTCTTCACCTCGGCAAGAGTAGCGAGCTTGCGCAAACCTAAACCCCAGCTCATGCTGTCATCGACCGCGCACTATCGGTCCTAACCTCGCGATCGTCCCCTCGCAAGCCGAGCGCAAGGCTTACAATTCTTTGCCATCGTAAATCACCATTCAGAGGACAGCATTCCGGAAATGCTAACGGGCACGCAAGGCCGCGATGCATGGCACCTATGCACACGATCGGTCATGGCTTCTGGAAGCTTGGTACACCACCTGCAGAGGCTTGCGGTAGCCAGGCACTTGTATATTCTAGAGCTTTTCGGAGCTGAAAACGCCTACAATCGACTCGTCCTGGGGTCGCAGGCCAAAGTCGCGGGAGGCGGGATTCTGACCATGCACCAGCCATAAACCTTGAACCACAGCTGCTACAGGCACCAACCTCTAGCTCAGAGCAGCCCTTTGAATACCTGGCTAAAGAGATCAACCGTAGTCACGCGCCCGTGTGTCGATTAGCAGCAATGCTTGGGCTGCAGGAATCGGCCTAGGGTTTGGAGCGTTCCTGGCGCGTGGTACGTCTCCTATGTACTATAGCTTTATGTGCTATAGTTACCTCAAGCCAAGTACGTTCGCCGGCCTCATCGTGAAACCCAGACATATAATCGCGCCGTCCCGCTGGTCAGCCTTGCATCCCAGCAACCGCTCAACATGCCTTTTAATCTCACAATCGCGATCCCGACGCTCGTGGGCAGTCTGCTGTCTTTCGTTGCCACAGGGTGCGTTCTCATATCGTACGTTGTGTACGCTGATTCGCAACGGTCTTTCCGTCACGCACTGGTATTGAATCTTGCTTTGGCTGGTAAGAACTCTTGACGACCAGATGAGATCTCTAGACTGACCACGCATACCAGAATTCATCAATTCGCTGAACAATTCGATATCTGGGATCTATGCAATTGCCAATGAAGGGTCCATCGCACCGGGTGCGGCATGCAATCTCAATGGCTGGGTAGGTCAGTGGTCTGTTCAGGCCGCTGACTTCTCTATCCTGGCCATCGCCATAATAACGCTTACTACGATTACCCGTAAAACATACATGCCCAATGCCTCGCTCATGAGCAAGATACTTATTTGCGGCTCCGTCTGGGTCATTCCTACCATCACAGGTAAGCTCATACATGCGCATCCATCAACGCAAGACTGATCTGAATGAACAGCGAGTACAGCCGCAGGATTGAACGAGTTGAGCCCCGTCAGCGGAAACTGGTGCTGGATATCGGGCACGCGAACTGACCTGCGCTATGCCCTGGGCCATGGCTGGAGGTTCAGCATCATCTTCGGAACCATTGGAATCTACATCTACATCTGGATCTACATGCGTCGGCACTTTTCGCAACTGCACTCCATGAGCCAAGGAGGGTCATACAATCAAGCCAGCGCTGCCAAGCGCCGCGAATTCCGCCGAGACGACGCCCACGAGCTGAGGAGCGAATCGCAGACGGAGCTGCATGAGATCAACGTGGAGTACGCCTACGAAGTAAAACACTCCGATGGCATGAGCGACACCAACCTAGGAAAGGAAGACATCATCTTCACAGCCAGCGACCTAGAGACAAACAGCCGCAAAAGCGCCACCACACTGTCCCCTCCCATGTCACCCAAGAGCCCTTACTTCCAATCCGCATCAGGTATGTCCTTCCCCATGCAGATGCGCACGAGCATCTCGGCTATCTACAACGTGCCAATACTAATGGTTACCAGCCTTCCCCTCAGAAATGACTGCGCCCTCAGATAAGAAGCGCAGCATCGGCATGATCAGCAACCATCCCGCGCCAATGTCCGGGGCTTACGAGTCGGGCGCACCCCACGAATCGGGAAGTAATCAGCAGGGCGCCACCAGCACAAAGAAGGTTGAGCGAGAAATCAAGAGGATGTTGCTCCTCAACGCATACCCTATTCTGTACATCATCCTCTGGTTACCTGGTATTCTCAACCGCTTGGTGGAAGCTGCTGGCCATCCCAGCTATGCGTTGAGTATTTTGCAATGCTCAACGCAATATATTGGGTTCGCGAACGCAATTACCTATGGCTTCAACGAGCATCTCAAGACGACGCTGAGACGCGACTTCGTCAAGTGGTGGCGGGCGCGGCGGAGTTGAGAGGGTTTCTACACGTTTCTTCTTTATTGGTTGGTTACGACTTTACAAAGATTTAATATTCATGCTATATACCTTACTAGCACATGTGACGAGTGTTCCACGTTTCATATATACGCGCATGTGAATGCGGACTGGCCGAGGTATCTCGCCCAGGCAAAGCGCTCTTGATGCGCTGGGTCTTCGTCGTCACTTTGAGTCAGCTGCGGATTCATGTCACATCGTGATTATGTGTTTGCGCGATTAGCACCAGGGCTGGCCAGATTTCGTGTTGCCTTCCACGAATATTATCTTAACGCGGAAGTATACATTGCAAGAGGAACTGTCTAGTCGTCAGGATTCAACAGCATGTGTACGACTCGCACTTCAGCCTCCGTTTGCTAAGCTCAGCATTCGGCATTCGGATAGAGGGCCACATTGTTGCCCATTCTTCATGCGATAACAGTAATACCCGCTTTCTCGCACACTTATATCCGCTCTCCAGGACGTTATCACTCTCTTCAGCTCTCGCATCTCCTCTTCTTGCTGCCCTGCAGTGACGTATCGTGCTCGGCAAATCGTCTGTATAAGCACCGTTTGCAACCCCTTCAGCATGGTGGCCCAGGTCGAGCCATTGTACGTTTCCTTCCACAGCGTGTAAGAAGTATTATGGGTTCCTATCTGTTCGACCTGGATTGTCTTGATAGCGTCGCGCTGAGAAGACGATAGCGGCCTTGCGAATAATGATAGGCGAAACGGATTCAAGGCGGAAAAGGTGTTGAGTGAGAATGGGAGCGTCGAGGTTTCGTTGTAGATCTGACGGCAGACGAAACGCAGGCGGGGGACGTTGCCGACTGCGTAACCGCGATCAGAGATTTCGTAAATCTCGCCGCCCAAAGCGTATCTAGCAAGAGACGTTAGTACAACTCCGTGGAAGCATGCGCCGGAACCTTCATACTCATGTATCTGAATTCGTAGCTCAGCTGGAAGTCGCAGGAGAGGAGACTCGACAGAGTTGCGTTTAGATCTGATCTCGTTAGCTCTGCAGACTACACTATGCTAGAACAAGCAGATGGAAAGATCTAGTGTCAATGTAGGCTCCAGGACGTTCAGTGCTTTCCTCGCATAAGGTGCACCGGGTACTCACATCTCGTTTGCTCTGAACTTTGACAGCATTGCCCAGTCCGGTCTAATCTTTCTCTTCGGCTTCGGGACCTGAGTCATGTTGTCGACTACCCTTGGCTTTGACCTCGAGCAAGTCGATCGGTCGATAGGAAATGAGAAGAAAGATAGAGGATACAAGGTGACAAAGAGAGATCCAGGGTCCATTGCGCTAGCCTCATGCAGACCCGCTCACCCACCGACTAGGCAGGGACAATCTCCCACCTGGGTACAGTACTAGCGTATTGGCCGTCACCACGAGATAGACAAGAATCCTCTAACACTATTTCTGCTTGTTACTCCCAACTACTTTATAATAACACCCTAGCCCGCCTCCCACGGCAATGGCGCATATCTATCAAAGCTCTACAAAGCGTCACACCTCTCGTGTGAATACATCAACCATGGCGAGCATCTGCCCAACCACATTTCGGCTATCCAAGCAAGGCGAGATCCGAAGATTCCGGAAGATATATACGAAGCTCATGATGGAACCGAAGCTGGAGCGCATGCCTGAAGTCGACCAAATCAAGATAGCAGAAGCCATCTACCGAGGCAAGCTACGTCTCTACGACAACGGTATGCTGGACGCTACACCACGTACATCCGATGTTATAGCCACGTAAGTTCCATTGCATTGGGGAGTCTCGCTACTTACTGATGTCTTCAAGTACCCACCGAAACAGCGTTTCCTCACCCCTACTCCTTCTTCCTGCCGAAGTGCGTAACAAGATCTTCTCCTACGTCAACAGTGGTCTACATATCTATATGAGATCTGGACCCGGCTTCGGGCCTGTCATTTACATAAAAAACGGCAGTCACGCGAATGCAACTTTTGAGTATCGACCATTCCTTACTCCCCAGGGAATCTGCCGTCAAATCTATAGTGAAACAGCGCTACTTCCTTTCACCACGAACGAGTACTGGTACTTCACCAAGAACTCGCTGGAAATATGCAAATCCGTTTTTTGGGGTCAGCAATTGCAATGCATCCGCTATGTCTCCTTCGCTATTACGATTATAATGGGGAAATTTGACCCAGTAATCGGGAACTTCGATGCAGGAAGGCTGGACGGCTTGAAAGCCTTCTCTGATCTGCAAGAGGTCACTATCTACTTAAACATGGAGCATCCAGAGGCTGAGCGTCGGTTCGAAGGCGTGAAGACGTTTCTGAAGGGCTATCTGAAGGAAGTGGTATCTGCGGGTGTGAAGATTGTCTATGAGCACCGCTATCGGGAGGTTGACTTTGTCGCCTGGCCAACAAGCCTTGGGCGCCGAATTCGGAAACCAGGATCTCCAACGTTGATGATTTGAGGATCGGCTTATATCCTTTGTCCTTAGAGTATGGTGGACTAGGAAATGAGGTTATTCTGTCAATTTTCCATGATCACACAAATTGGCACATTACCTGTACACTATGGAGACGACGTAGTCTTTTCTAACAATAGTTCCAATGGTCTGCTATGTGAAACTGAAGTGTAAGTCAAAGTGAAACTTCCAGCTATCACACACTAAGTGAAGGCGAATGTTCTCAAGTACTAACGCCACGTCTAGTACGTCGTGAGCTGCAGAATTATTTATGAAGCAAGTGCTGCCTGGTTATAGACCAATGCGTATATCGACAGCGCGCATGTACTGGAACTAGCTAAGTGCAAGCCCCTTCCACTCGATTTCCTAGCCGAATCTGATACGTTCAAACTACTTGGAAAGATCAGACGTTGAAGCCCGGGTCGCATTGATTTCATGTGCATTGCGATTTGTTGGATAGTAAGGTTTCATTGCAGTCAAAATCCTCCATGAAGATTTCCTCTTGCGTACATAATCATCATATACATTCCCAGTCCCCTTCGAAAGTTGATCCAATGGTTCATCCCGATTTGAGCAGATGCGTACTAAAGTAAGAGGGAGCATGTCGCCCTTTATTCCTTGTAAGGACTATTGCTGCCTATATCGCACGAAATACATCAGCAATGAGCTTCCCAACATAACACAAAACGGGATAGGCATTTGACTTACATCCTCTCACCGTGTACAACTTACCATACCAGTTGTACGACCCAGAGTGGTTACCAAGGCCTGCGCCCTCGGGACGGCACTGGTTCAGAATGTTCTCGAACGCGTCCCAGCATCTCTGCTGGTCAAAGCCTCCAGGCCATGAGAGTCTGCCTCCACCCGGAGCATGGTAATAACCATCATTCTTGTACAAACCGTCGCCGCAGACGTGTTGACGAGCAGCGTAGAGCTGGTTGCGACTCGAGGCGGGGACGGCGCCACAAAGTCCGTAGCCTCCGCATTCGGCGGCAGAGACAACAGCTCCTGAGAGCATGACGCCGACGGCGATGATGGAGTTGAAGTGCATTTTTGTGGTTGTTTGGAGATTGAGGGGAGGAAGTGAAGGTTCTTGGATAAAGGTTGCTTGTTGTGATGATGAGAAGCTATGGTGTGGATTGAAGCCTACTTATACTTCGACCACGTTCACGACTATTCATATGGATACACTACCCCATACTCCATGGACTTACTGGAATGCGAGATCGACTGCATAGTACGCCCCATGTTCCCAAAAGGTATACATTGCGAAACCTACAGACCTCAAACTTGCTCAATCAGGCGAACGCACGAAACATCACTGCGCCGTTCCTCATAGCCCACATGCAGACATCTCCAGAACTAGCCCGCCACAGAAGGTGTATATCAAGATCAAAGTAATGATTCTCGTACAGCGAGATATTGAGTTCAGCCACACCAAGCTAAAATACGTCTGACCGTCCTATTGGTGGGCAGCGATCCGGACTGCCTTCCGTAGCCGCTGCCATATGCGGCCCGCACCTTCTACTACGCAAAAGCTTGGCCTGTTGCGGTGATGATTTCCAAGAGTTGTGCCATAGAACAGTAACGGGGTCATCCGATCGTACCCACCTACCTGGGTACGGCAACGTGCATCATTCCAGGTGCCAAAGAGGCAGGTGTCAATTGAACGGAAGAGGCACCGAGCTATGTACTCGACATCACATGCAACAGCCACGATGCAACTACGTCGCAGAAGCCCGCACGTTCGCCAAAAATTGCTCGAACGGTCTTGACTATCGTATACTAGACTGCGGGCTCGGCTATCGGCGTCGTAGCAAGTAGACCGCAACATCACTGCTAGCTGACTAGACCGCATGGATACGAGGACAGCAGACCATTTGGCCCCGGATACATTGGAAGCCGCCCTGGCGCGTCCCACTTCGTAGCTGTCAGAGTCTAGCGATCTTGATAAGTGCGGGGATGGAGAAACTGTTGAACCCGTCGAAATTGACCCTGGAGGAGGGGATCTTTGCGGGGAGAGCACCGGGGACATGCAGGGTGTGTTTGAACACTACTCATCTATAAGGCGATAAGAAAAGAGGCAAGGAATGATTTATTGTCTGCATGACGTCTTAGCCTCATCATTCCTGGTGAACGCACTCTACCGCGGTGACTACATCCACTTACCTTATCATGACTGGAAGATGATCGCCACTCTTTCTGCGCACAGCACCTCCTCAAGCCTCTTAACCAGCTTATCCTTCATTGAGTGGAACCGCTCATCAGTGTTATCTTTTCGAATCCCCGTGTAGCCCGCAAATACAATTCTCCTCAAGCCTACCAAAGGCGCCAAAGCCTCCGCTTGCAGGATATCAGTATCGGTAATGTCTTTTCCGAGATGCATTGAAACGGTACGAATGGCGTTGAACTGTGCAGGCATCAACTTCCGCCACCAATCGTTTACACCGCTTGGCATCGGCGGGTATGTAGGCCTGTACCAGAAGTTGTTGATGGCGAAGGGAAGAAGACGTGCTTCCGCATATGTTGAACGAGATACGCACAGGATAGCTAGAGGGTGTTTGATATATTTTTCTGAGTCATGGGCCATAGCGAGCGGCCTTTCGGGTTGAGTGCTGAAGATGAGGTAACTTCCGGGAACATATTCCCAGATATAATCGCGCAACTCTCGAGGTAAGAGGAGCAAAGGTGAGACCCGTATGTTTTTCACGGTGCTGAATTGTTTAGTTCTTGGTTCTGTACTTAGAGGGCTGTATTGTGCTGAGCCCGTTATTGGTTCTACTTACATGGCTTCGTATTTGCCGAATGGTGTCACATCTACCACATCGTCCTGGAGGCGACGAACCGGTGGCAAAAGACCGTGTCTCTTATTATGAATCATTATATGGGCAGCGCAGGTCTCGGGTTCGGGCGTGATTGTCTTCGTGTTTCCGCTTCGTATAGTTCTGACGGGCTTGATGACTGGTACAGGTAGGGGACACTCAACTGTCACCGCAAAACTTTACAGAACGTCGATATCGCTGAAGGCGCTGATGTATGAGAAGTTGGAATACAAAGATACAGATGGGAAATGAAAAGACTTTGGGTCAGTAGCAGTTTCGTGTATTTAGCGAACCCATGCTCTGATCCAATGTCTCCGTTCCACGGTCCTACAATGGGCTAACGCTGATGGGCTGCGCACAACTTCTGAAGCTCACACCATACTGGCGTCAACATGTCATCTTGATGTAGAAGTATGGTCAAGATACCAGCATCGATTCTGAGTTTGATCTGGCCTTTGACTCCCGAATAATCGCAACCATGACGTTGATGCGTGTTTGCTTTTGCTCATCCGGTATACATACGCTCTCTTTAGAAACGACAATACGAAAAGCGGTAAGTTAAGTCTCTCGGTAATGTACTGCAGGGTCTTAGTAAGTGCAATAGCTTACTACTTGTAGTAGCGCTTACATGGTGGATTGTCCCCGCGTAGTATCATCCGTGTTCGATTCGGATCTCTAGATCAGAGTTCCCCCAGATGCCTGCCAAATTCTCTTTGATGGCTTTAACGCGTGTTGGATCAACAGGACACAGCCCATCGCAGATGCAGTACACAAGGACATGCTTCAAGCCAGAGAGTAAACGTAGAGGGGATTGTGGGTACTCGTGACACCAGAGCTCGATTCTTCGCAGGGCAGCCAGTTGTTCGGGTAGCCGACGCTTGAGCCATACATTAAAACAGCCCATGTCGTCTGGCGAGAAAGTGTTGCCGGAGTAGAGCAGCAAACATGTTTCAGCATGTACTTGTCTGCAAACTCGGAGTATGCTCTGTTTGGGATAGTATCTCGCGTCCTCGGGATACGTGCCGTAGCCTACTATAACAAGCTGTACGTGTACCGCATAGGTCCATATCCTTTGTCGGATTTCGGGGGGCAGGCGCAACAACCCGGACTTGTCCGCGTTCCGCTGAGCTCTTGTCATTTCGTCAGCCAGGCTCAGATACAGCAGAGCCACACTTACATCGCAAGGTAGTAGCTGTTAGGAGTAACACTGAGCATTCCGCTCTTTGACTTCTGGGTATTCATGTGTTGCCTCGCTGCCTGCGACTTGGCGCCACGCTCGGGCTGGCGCCTTTTCGCGCTGCTTGGTGTTGACATGACGTTGTTTGGCGGGGAGAGTCGCCTCTGAGAATAGAAGTCGCGCCCAAGAGTATGAGCTCTGGCCTCGTAGTGCACACGAAAATAGTGAGCCGCGAATTGAAGAGCTTTGATAAGGTGTGTAGAGCCCAGGCGATGGGTCGTAGACAGCTGTGGTGAGTGAGAGCACGGGCACTCCCAATGAGGTGAGAGCAAACCGCGTGTGCCAAGACAGCGCAGTCTATCGATATGGAAGGGGCGTGAAACTGCACTGACTGGTGATTAGTCCACCTCAAATCATCCGCGCGCTCGGATGGCGTCAAGGTAATATAACCATCACTCACCCATTCCAACATCTAGTCTTCATTATCCATTGCACAAACTATCCTAGTGCATATGCCTATATACCATCCATTGACCCAAACGCCTAACCTCCCCTGGGGTATATTCCATATGCATATTTACCAATGGACCCAAAACGGTAACAAGTAAACAAAAACAACAGACACACCGATGCCAAAGCACATGCTAGTAATACCGCTTTCATGCAAATTCCGACTCCCTAACGCCATCATGGCATGCATGCCCACCGCCCATAACCATAGCGTCGGAGAACGACCGCTCAGTCCATGACTCCAAACTGCTGAAATCGTAACGCCATCTCTTTCATACGCCATATGGTTTCACGCTCGGCCCGACGGGCACAGCGAGCGTAGCTTCGTCAGGTATTTTCTTGTTTCCGAATTTGCTTGCCAGCTCTTCGATTTTGGGGATTAGCTCGCCGATCCTAAAGGGCTTGCTGACGACGTCGTCCATGCCGGCCGCGAGCAAGGTTGCGATTTGTTCGCTGCGTGCGTTGGCCGTGACGGCGATGATGGGGACGTGTCGCTT